TTTATGGAAGGTTCTTCATCCAGTGCTGATGGTGATCGGCTTTATCATCATAAGTGGAGAAGGTAATGAGGGTGATTAACCAGAATGTGTTGAAATGAAGGTATAGCAAATGGGGTTTGAGTGATGATGTTTATTGTTCTGTTTTCAGCAATTTTGGTACACAGATGGCTGCCTGGCTCAAGGAACTTGAAGAAATCTGTGCACTTGTGTCTTCAAGGGGTGGCTTTGGCTTCTGGGGTTTTTGGGATTTGGACAAAGTTTCAGGGAAAAGATGGGATTGTTGCCAATTTCTATACCCTGCATTCCTGGATGGGTTTGATATGTGTCTGCCTGTTTGGAGCTCAGGTTCTTTTCTTCAATCCCCTCAATTTTTTTGAGTTATTTGTTTGTACAAATTTTTGTGATTAAAGTTCTCTGCTTTGCTATATTTAAGCTTTCGGGAAATAAAAAAATAATAATAAGTAGTTCCAGTGGGGAAGCCACATCCTTTTCTACACTGCTTTATTTATTGATTTTTGGATTCAAATGTAAGCCTTTACTATCTTATTAATGCCCTGACAAAAATCTGTTGGTTTCAATAGAATGCTCAAGAACACTTTTGCATGTATATATACTTTATATACAGAAAGTAAAGGAAAGGAAGTAGCATGTATGATGTATCATGTACCCCATACAATCAAGGGATTTCAGCAAAAATACACAATTAAGGTTGGGCCAGAAAAAGTCCTGATATGCAAAAACCTTGCACAACTCAGGGCCTCAGACCTAGGTTTAGCTCTTGGGCTTTAGAAAAGCCATAATAGTCCTCTTTATTTTGACCCAAGACTACTACTCTTAACATATTCTCTCTTTTTTTTTAAACCAAACCCTTTATTTGCCTTCTATATATTTTTTTTAACATTTTTAATTTTTTTTTATAATTTTCATTTTCAATTCATACCTTTCATAATTTAAAATTTACAAAAAAAAAAAAAAAATTAATTACTAACAAAATTAAGGTGTAAATAAAGAATTTTACTGTTAACTTTTAAGTTTTTATAAGTTTTAAATTATAAAGAATGTTGCTTGAAAATAAAAATTTTTGAAAGTGTTAATCTCAAGAAAAAAATAATATGTAAAGTGTAAATAGAAAGTTTATCTTATTCTTTAACTTTTAACTATTAAATTATTCTTAATTAGTAAGTACATGTTTTTTTCACTTGAGATATGAGTATGAATCTCTCTACCTTAATATAGAATAAAGTATATTGATTTCGATGTGGATTTATTGTTTACCCTCCAACTCAATGCAGTGGATAATGGGTTTTTGGAGCTTCTGGCATCGGGGAGAGCTGCGCACAACTCGAGCAAGGGTCTTGCCATGGCACATCTTCCTCGGCCTCTATACGTATGGCCTGGCAGTGGCCACGGCAGAAACTGGACTTCTGGAGAAGCTAACATTCTTGCAGACTAGGAGGAATGTATCTAAGCACTGTCTGGAGTCCTTGGTTGTGAATAGTTTAGGCCTAGGACTTGCCCTCCTTAGCGGCATTGTGATTTTGACCGCTGTTTCTCCTAAACGTTATGCTCTTCAAAACAAACTTGTGTATGAATCTAATACTAAGTGCTTGTCATCTTGAGAGAAACAGAAAAAGAAATTATATAGTGAAAGATAAGAAGAATGGTATCATTACCATTTTTGTCATAATTTTCATATATATTTTTAATCAGAATTTATTTGTGGGTTGGTAAATAACTAACAAACCCATTAATTTTCATTTCCACCCAGAAAATTATTTGATTGATTATTTAATCCTTAACTAGTTAATAGTTATTTTATCTGTCCAACATATTACTTAGACTGATAGAAAAAAGATGGTAACCTTTTTTTTCATAGTCAAGTATTGCCGAACTAGTTTTTAATGTATTTCAATATTAATTTTTCTTAAATAATCTTAAGAACATGTCCTCATATCTACTTGGTGCATTTAAAATAAAATTAATTTTTTTAAGCGTTAATTTAAAAAAAAAAAAAGAAAAGAAAAGAAAAGAAAGAAAGATAACATTAATGTTAAATCAATAGACACAATATATGGTTGTTATCCCTCTTAGATACTAAAATGATTCTTATACAATATTAGGAATTAAATTGACACAAAGCTAAACTTAGAGACTAGGCCTCTTTTTTTTTTTTTTTATCTTGATTACACAATTGGATGCAACCATTTCTTATTCCTTATCCTTTCATTCCTTATCTTACCCTATCCACATATCATACGATTCAAATTCAAGATATCTTACTTTCAATGAAATGAGATAACTACAGAATTATTTATGTCGTTTTAGTTGCATAACAAGAGGCAACCATCTCACATTCCTTACTCCACTTTACTTATATGCTATGCGATTTAAATTTAAAATTTTTTACTTCTAATAAAAATAAATAACCACTTAGTTATTTAAATCATGACAAAAAATAAGCTTTTAATTTGCTTTTAAGGGTAAAACATTTGAAACGACAGCGTAAGGAACAGACGCCAAACTTTCCTCCAGGCAAGCAGTTGGCTACTTGGCTTCAATTGGAGTACGGTGGCACCCATTTTTACCTCTGAACCGCAAACGGACGGCAGAACCCACCTCAGCTACTCTTCAGAGAATGCTTGAGTCGTCTGTGATCTCAATTCTTATCTGCGAATCCAATCCCTAATCCCCAATTTTAACTGCAAGAGAATGAGCTCTTCAAGTGCTTCGCCGTCACTTTTCGTTGCAACCGAGGTCTCTTCTTTTATTCCTCGCCGTCGTAGCAACCTCTCCGCCTTCACTTCATCTACCTCATTTCTCTGCATACCCAGATCGACAAGCCCCAGGATCCTACGCCTCTCTGCGTCTGTTGCAAATGGGAACCTTGACCTCTCCTGGTTCCCTCCCGACCCTAATTCTGTGCCTGACAATTACGGTGGCTGGGCTGTTGTTGAAGCTCCTCAACAGAAAAAGAAAAAAGGTCTCTTTTTTAGTTTTCCCCTTTTCAGGACAATGGTGATTGAATTGATTTAACCCCTCTTTTCAGTGCTAAGAAAATTACTGGTGATAAATGCATTTTGCTCTTGCAGGGTTGTCTGCTATTGTTATCGGGGGTATTGGGACCTCAGTTGCTATCGTGCTTGCTACCGTTGCTTACTTTTCACTATGCAAAGGGGGTAAGACTTCTGTCCATTGTAACTGCTGACTGGGAAAATTGGCTTGTTGAACTGTGGTTTAATCATTAGTGGTTTGCTATGGATCTTTACAGGTTTTAATTTTCACCTTAGAAGCCCATTACAGTCTTTACATGGGGTGTTGGGTTGGGATGAGACTACAACTGACAAAAGCAAAATTGAAGACTCTACTGAGTTTGTTGAAGAGGTCAAGGTGTCTGAGACGAGCCCAGAGTGTGAAGCTGCTGCAAGCAGTGAAATTGTTGGTTCAGGTAAAGTCCAGTAGCGGGGTGAAGGGGTTTCTAGTGGTACTCTTCCCCTTTGTAGTTTATCCTAATATACCAGAGTTTGTTAATCTTACGTGTATTGGTCAAAGTTTTCAAAATATCTCTAATTCTTCTCCTTGACATCATCAGCACCAGTGGGCAAACATGAACGAATTGTACTACCAATTGCTGTGGATTCTACTCAAGAAGAAGCTTTGTCTGTTCTAAAAAGTCTGAAGGTTCGATTTTAAAGCTAGACGTTTGTTAAAGTATTCTTGTCTCCATCACTTGAACTCTAAGATGACTGCATCTTGTGTTACTAATTATTTACTTTGCATTTAAATTTTTCAAATTTCAAAGATTGAATGACCTTAACAACAACAACAACAACAACAAAATCTTTATGAAATTTTGTGTCATCTTGCACTTGTCTCAAGGATTGAGGTAGAGAACTTCTGATTCACATAGATACTCTATGGGATATTTGATTGGTTATAATTAGATAAGCAGAAGGAAACATGCCACAAAGTAGTTTTCCTCGCAATGAACTTGAATTATTTTTCATAATTAATTTGTGATTTATTTCATTGTTTCCATATCCCCATATGAAAAGCTTTTAGCTTTTAAATATCAAATTGTTTAGTGGAGCTTTAGGTCCAGTTCTAAGCATGAATATCTCAACTTTAATTAAGGTATGCAGATCATTGAAGATGATGTAAGATCTGATGAATTGTGCACTCGGAGGGAATATACAAGGTGGTTGGTCGGTACAAGTTTGTTATTGGAAAGGTAGTAACTCTTTCATGTGTGTGTACTAGGGATAGCTGGGTTCTCAAGATTTAAAGCACTGGGAACTTTATTTTAAAAGTCCTTTTTGGCAAATTATTTGCCTTGTAGGAATCTGAAGCACCGAGTCGATACATCTCTAGCACTTTCTGCATCAGTGATTGCAGCATTTGATGATGTGGATATTGAAGATCCAGATTTCAAATACATACAAGGTAAAGCTTGTTTTGATGTTTGAATGTCAGGCTTGCATTCATTTAATGGTGAATATTTGAAACATCTCTTTTGGACTTCTGGCTTAGCCTTAGCGGAGGCAGGCATTATTCCCACCAAGCTCTCAGGGAAAATGACTAGTTCTGATAATTCAACAAGCCCAGCAGGAGTCTATTTCTTTCCTGACAGGTATTGTATGTGCATGAGTTTCATCAGTACTTTTTAAATGTTCTTCTGACACAGTCAAACTTATGTGGTGCTGCAGCTTTCTCACTCGACATGATCTCATAAATTGGAAAGCTCTAGTAGAGTATGAATTCAAGCCAGGAATAGTAGATCAGGTATAATAAGTTTTTCCTTTCAATCAGAAGGTGTAATAAGTTGAAGTACAGTCTTTAGTTGGGTCTCTTTTTGGGGACTCATCAAAGAAATATTAAACTGATATACTTGACCAGTCTTTCTATTGCTCTTAAAACCTGACATGTTTACAGTCCAGATATCAAGGACAAAGGTGGAGTATATGGATGTGAAGGAGATCAGTCCAGAGTCATCTCCGGGACTTTTCATGGACATGTTGGCTGGAGAGAAAAGCATACTCAGAAAAGTTTTTGGTACCTTCCTCATCTTGGTTCTTTAACCCAACAATCGGTGTCCTTCCCACCAACCCCTTCCCTAATAACATGCCCTTTACTCACTTTTTCTGCTAATGGTTGTCCTGGTCACAAAGAAACTCATCATTTCTTCAGTGATTGATGTGTAAATGTGGGAGACATATGTCATGACCTATGTACTTTTTGGAAAAGCAATAATGCCATGCCAATAGATTGGAATAATGGAATGTAAGGAAGATATAAGTTAGTATCAACTGATAAATGCCAATAGCAAAGTAGAATAAACACGTGAAAAAGGAATAATGAGTTGAAGTTATGACTTATAGAGGCACAAAATAGCCTCTCCTTCATATTGGCAGTGTTGCAAGAAACCTGAAAAATGGAATGTATAGGCATAACTGATATGCATATCGTTTTGTTCTCATCTTTATACCACAACTCCATAAGATGAAAATTGCATCTTGAAATGGAGAGTGCATAAATGCTTGTTAGTAAATTTTCAACAATTATAGTTGTAAATTTTGCAGGACAAAGCAAGCGGTTTCAACCTAATAAACCTTTAACCAAAGCACAGGCAGCAGTGGCATTGACAAGTGGCAGGATGGCAGAAGCAATTTATAATGAATTATCTAGATTAGAAGCTGAAAGTGTTTCTAGGCAAGCTGAAATGGAAGAAATTAGGTCCGAGATACTTGACAGAGGAGAGATACAGAGGTTTTGGTATGAAAAGCTGGATGAAGAAAGAGTCCGTGCTCTTGAGGTTGAGAAATTTTATCTTTCTGTAATTGATGACGTAGAACAGGAGAAAATTGTTAGGGAAAAGTATTTTGCTGAGTCTTTGAAGGAAAAGGCAGCTATGGACTGCCAGAGGCAATTGCTATTTAGTCTGAAGGAAGACATTAATGAGATGTCAGAGAGGCTTGCATCTGAAAGGGCAATCTATGTCACTGAGCAATGTAAGTTGCAGGATATGCTAAGTGATTTGAAATCCAAACAAGAGGGAGTGCTTGACACAAAATCCATACTTGAAGCTGAGATAGAAGCTATTCGAATCCTTAGGTAAGAATTAAAATCAGAAGCTCTCCTCCACTGTGAATTTCCTTATATAAATTCAGCAAAAAGAAACTTGATTTTGGTACTCAAGGGCAAGTTCATGGTGCTTAGCAACAAATTGCTCAATAATCCTTCACACATGATGGCACTTTGTTATTATCGTTCAGCATCATATCTTATTGTCATTCATTGGAATTTCTTTTAGTCTTGGCACTGAACTTAATGGCAATTGTTGAATTATTATTATTACTTTTTTCTACTAGTATATTTTTAAGTATTGGAACTGAGTCCTGATAAATGGAAGCAATGAATGTGCAGATCTTGGGTAGAGGATGAAGCAAGAAAAAGCCAAGCCCGGGCTAAGGTTCTGGAGGAGGTAGGAAAAAGGTGGAGATGGGATGATAAAGCCTGACTCCCCATTACCTCAGAAAGTAGAAACATGATTCACCCATAACAGAAGTCTAGATAAAAAAACCCCAGGGGAATGAAACTAAAACATCATGATTGTTTTTATTTTGTTATCCCATGGATGGAATGAGGGAAGTTTGGCTTATTTTGTTATCCCATGGATGGAATGGGGGAAGTTTGGCTCATCTTTATATTTTCTGAGCTATGCATTTGTTTAATTTATTGATTGCACCTTCACTGATTTACATCTCTATTGAAGGAACCAAGAACAGAAGAAATTTTTTCTTTCCATGTCACACCTCTTGAGAATCATCATCCTCATTTAGATATCTCGCAGTTCTTTTATAATTTGCTTGGTTGCAATCTAAAAAGTTTATATCCTTTTAAAAGCATCAAGATTTCATTATTTCAAAGAAGATTTAAACATAAATTCAAGAGCTACAGGTTTTAGACTACAGGAAACTAATTAACTGCAATTGTCTGCCTGAGCTTAGATAAAATTTGGAAACTTTATTGTTAACTGGTTCTGCTGAAAAAGAGAAATATATATATATGATGTTATAAAAGTAATTTTTTCATATCATTTTTTTATATAATTTTTATATATCATTAAATGAATGGTTGCATTTAATATTACGAGTCTCATATAAATTAAAAAAATCAATTCTTTTAACAACATGTCAAATTATATAAAAAAAATGAAATAAAAAAATTGTATAAAAATTATTCCACTTATATATATATATATAGAAGCCCAACCAACTGGAAGTGTCAATTTCGCAGACCATGACTTTGCCCTTAAGGCACCACACAATTTATTATTTTATTTAGTATTTTAAATTTTTAATATCATGGTAAGTTGACTCGGTTATCTTTTCCCGTTTGAGGTTGGCTTTAGGGTGTGGTCCGGGTACAACATTGTTTTTAAAAATATTAATTTTGTTAATTCACTTGTTAAGAACAATTATTAATTAATAAAATAATTAATATTTATTATTTAATACATTAAAATCAACCAAAAAAATAATACTTCTAAACACCATAAGTCCATAACCAGCTATTAAAAAAAAAAAACTACAAATTAAATCAAACTAAACATAATTTACATGGCCTTAACCACAACCGTGGCTTTGGTGCTGCTAGCATGAAGACTTTTGAAGAACTTGGGGGTCGTGTGACGTGTCCATGCACAAATGGGAGAAAAAAATAAGCAGGAACCACGGGATTTTTTAATTTTTTTTTATAAAAAAATACTTATTTTGATTATTTTTAATAAATTTAGTTTATATTTTTAACATTTAAAATATAAATTTAAAATAAAAATTTAATAAATCATATAAATAATAATTAAAATTTTTTATTAAATAAAAATATTTAATAAGAACTATATATTAAAATAAAAAATAATTATTATTTATATAAATTATTAAATTTTTATTCAAAATTTATGTCTTAAAAATTAAAAAATTAAATTAAATTTACTAAAAATAAATAAAGAGAGAGTATTATTTTCCCTGTTTATGCATTTTTCTGTTGGATATGTTAGTCATCTCAGTTTACACTACAAAAATTAATTAAAAAACAGGGGGAAAAAATAAAGGAAAAAAATTGAAAAAGGTGCAAGCGTATGTTTTGAGGTTGTGATTCAAGCTGTTGCTGGTCTACATCATCTCATCGTGATTACAAGGCTTCTGTCCATGAACTTTGCACCTTCTACTTTCCCTTGAAGCTTTGGTGGCAAGCAGATGACTCTTCTTTGATCCCCTGCTTCAACCAACAACTCAGATCTTCCTCTATACTGCAATTGTCAGATATTAAAGAAACTGGCTCAAATTGTGAATATTAAGTTATTAACTAGATCAAAACTTGATGTATCAACAACTGCAACGTAGAATAATTCAAGTGCTGGGAACTGCACGTACTTGATATAGCTTGATCTCTGACTTGTCAAAACCTGGCATAAAGAGGGTTACTGTTTTTCTTGCTGCATCAAATTGTATAGAGGGCATCATGCTCTTCCCTTGGCTTGCTGGAAAAGAAAGAAGATTCCGGGCATCTGCACTTGCACTGCTCGAGATGATTGCATTCCAATCTGGAGGGGAACCCGATGGGAGATGTGGAATGAAAGCAAAGGGCAAAGGTGAAAATTCCTTCTTGACCTTTTCCATTGATTTTACTGGAGAATCGGGCAAAGGAATACCAAATACACCAGAAACCTGTGTACCAGCTTGGATTGCACAGCCCCAATAACGCGATGCAGTATGCAGAGAAAGTTGATTCTTTGGATCCATCATAAGAAAGCATCCAAATCTATTTGGTTCTGAAACGGCAGAAGATCCTCGCTGCACCATATCCAGTCAATGCAAAATCCTTTTGCATTTACCTAAAAATGTAGAATTGATAAAATGAGAGTCGTAGTTACCTCCAGAAATTGTTCCAAACTATCCCATATTTCTGCACTCATTCTCCCGTTGAATTGAGTGTGATCCCTGTTCATAATTACGGCTTCATCTACAAGCCTCAAGAGTGAAGGACCAGCCAATCTCCCAAAATCAGTCATCTCAGCCAGGCTCCGCAAATATTTTAAGTACAGTCTGTGCAGTGAAAATGTTGTATGCAGGTCATTTTGAATGCAAAGAAAAGGTGAGAGAGGGGGGCCCAAGAGAAGAAGTTTCTGAACCTTGCTTTACTGCTCACACCTATCATCCGTAGGGTCTCCTCAGTGCTGACACCATCATATACTATTATGTCGAATTTATCTTTATGTTGGTTCTTTTGAGCCATAATCCCCAATAATCCCACAAACCTCTCCAATGCAAGTGCTGAGAAAAGGGAGTCCATCCCAGGAAGCACCCCAAGCTCTTCTCCAACAACCTACTATATTTCAAACAAAGATGCATCACGAAGTCCTCCACAGAAAATACTATCCAAAGGAAAAGAATCTTAATGTCACAGTGACACTGTAAAAAATGTCTAGAGATACCCCACCCCTTCAAGAACTCCTTGGGTCACATTAAGATGGGCATCTGCTTGCTTCAGCTGATTGAGGGGTTCTAGAAGCATCTGCAAGTTTAAGAACAATGTATCCTGACCATAAAGCCTCAAAGGAAGATTTTAAGTTGAATTAGATGCAGAAAGGATGAGTTATGAAACACACTTTTGTTGTCTCCAATCTAATGGCTGAGAGGTTGTCATTGCATACAACAGGAGAGGACCCAATCTTACAGTTAAGAAGCCAATCAGCAGTGGGATCTTGACCATGAATAACCAAGCATGTTCTAAGCCCACTCATTGCATAATTCTAACCAGCAGAAAAGAGAGAAGAAGATTACTTGAGACCGTATGGAAAGCTTAAAATGGTTTTAGCACACTGACTACATATTCCATGGTAAATGCACAACTTTCTCCCATAAGTACATCACCTAGAGTCCAAATCAGCTCCATCTCTACTAAACAAAACTAAAATATGCAAGAGGATACACATATGCCACAAGTCATAATCACGATGCCTTTGTGTTTCAAAAGGCTCTACCCCATACACTAAAAAAAAAGGCAATGTAGCGTATCTAAGCAAAAAGTTACATAACAGCAGTAGGTAATCACAGCTGCTCTCATAATGAGCAAAATTCTTGATTATCATCCATCTATATGAACATGATTCTTACAAACCACACAAAAGCATTGCCAAAGTTTCTAAGGAAAGACGATGACATTGTCATTTCATTTCAATATAAAATACTTTTACAAAGCCCCGTCCAAAAGAGATGGGTTTGAAGTTTGAATACCCGCCCCCAATATAAAAAAGCCTCCATTAAAAGGAATCTAGCCCCCAAAATCCCAATGAAGGGTCAAAACGAGTAAAATTCCAGCTCAAAGACCAAAACTTCAAGAAGAACAGGAAAGTAAAAACACAAAACATGTAAGACATAAGGCAAAGAAATAAAAAAAAAAAAAGAAGGCACCTGGGCAGCAAAAACAGCAGCGGTCGTCTTGCCGGAGCCGCCTTTCCCTAAAAAGGTGAGCAATTTTGTCGGGTTTGACGCAGGACCATTGCTATCACCGGAAGAAGCCGCTTTAACAGGAGCTTGCGACCTTCTTCTTGGGTCAGTTGTTCTTGATGGGTACAGAAGTATGGAATTGGAACTGGGTTTTAGCAAGTGAAGAGAAGAAGAGACAGAAGAAGTCATTTTTCAATGTCACAGAATCAAAAGCAAGGGAATTGATGGGGATGAAGAAGCTAGGGGATAAAGGGACGGCGTCGGTGGTGGTTTTGGTCGTGTTTTGGTTGTCAAACTCAAGACGGCCAACGCCGTTGGAGAGATCGCGTTGCGTTTTGGTTGAATTTTAGTTGTTACTTAACAGGATGATTGTTTCCGTACCCAATTTTTTACTGAATGTAGCAATTGGTCCCTAATATTTTATCACGTTACCAAAATAATCCTCCGTTACAAAATCTCATGGCCTAATTCTTTAGAAAGCCACGATCTCTCATATGCCCCTAATTCACCTCACTTCAAGTTCAGAATTACCATTAAATCGTTTTAGTGTAATAAATCATCCCTTATTCATGGAAAGAGATTAAACCATGATTAAAATCATAAGTAAAAATGACAATAATAAAGAAAGAGACACTCTTAATGGATATTAATGTTCATGTATAGTTTATACCAAAAAAAAAAAAAAAAAAAAAAAGAAAAGAAAAGAAAGAAAGCTAGTTTGCATCTCTAGCAACAGGAAGCATAAAATTTGGAAGGGGACTAGCCCTGGGAGACCTTGGTGGTGGCTCTGATAGCAGATTTCCATAATTATCATAAAAGATGGCACCTGAAAATTCAGGTGGCTGGCATCTCTCCCCCATCAAGATACCTTTTCGCCACACGCCTTCTCCTTCCTCTTTGTCTGCTATTCCCACCTCATGACTTTCATCAACAGTATCAGCCCTCTTTTTGTGGATTAATTGAATTGCCTTGTTACTGATGTTTGTCACGAGTTGTTTACCAGGCTTAACCAAGGGCGATGTGGGCGCAAACTTTGAACCTATTCTCTTCTCCTCCGACTTGTGTACAGCACGGCTGCGAGTTTGCTTCGCACACAAGGCAACAAGAGCTGATACAGAGATGAACAAGCCAATTGCCAGAGGTATGGATCCCCATTGACCCCCGCTACGTTCAAAGAGCAAACGGGCCATTTCTGGAGATTATTATTGGGAATTTGGCTCTTAGGATTGTATTTATAGTTCCATCTTCCTTAATTAATAAGCTGGTGCAAGGTGGCGGCCGGCAAGAGACGACTTTTTGATATTAAACAGAGAAAATGTCTTCATTCATACATGTTTTGCAGTATTGTCAATTGTGTTTGGTGGATGCTGGTATCAACCGCCAACCAGAGATTTGTTAATTCGGCCCTGTATATATTGAACGATTGTAAATGTGAAAAGCCGTTACCAACTAATTAAGTGGTGGGATGAGACATAATGGTAGGAAGTTATTGATCACTCCTCATTTTAGGTATATGATATTATGGGTTCGACAATGATACGTTCATATCTATATATATATATTCCCGGATGCACAATTACTCCTCTTTTCATTATTATTATTATTATTATTATTATTTTATGAAAATTTAGGTAAAAACCAATATTTAGTCTCTTACCTTATAAAATAAGTAGGTTTTATCCCTTTACTTTATAATATAACATTTTTAGCCTTTTAATTTATAAATTTGGTAGGTTTTAACCTCTCATCTTACAAAATTGATAGGTTTTAGCCCCTTACCTTACAAAATTGGTAGATTTTAACCTCTCACCTTATATTATGATATTTTTAGCCACTCACTTATATGAATTGAAGAAAATAACTCCCATATAATATTAGGTTATAACATTCTGTTGGTTCAGTTAGTTGATTATTAACATTCGTTAGCATTTCGTTATAGAAAACATGAAATTTAAATTCAATTTTATTTGTTAGTTCCATTAACGGAATACTAACGGATGCTAACAGATGCTAACAATCAGCTAACAGATGCTAACAATCAGCTAACAGTCAGCTAACAGAACTCACAGTCAAATAACAGAACAAACAGAACATTATAACCTGATACTAAGTGAGAGCTATTTTCTTCAATTCGTATAAATAAGAGGTTAAAAGTGTTATAATATAAAATGATAGATTAAAACTTATTAATCTTGTAAGGTGAGGGGGGTTAAAATCTATCAATTTTATAAAGTAAAAGGGTAAAAGTATCATATTATAAGATTAAAAATTAAAACCTATTAATTTTTTTTTTTTGTAAAGTGAAAAGCTAAAAGTTGATTTTAGCATAAAATTTATTAGTACAAGTGTAGCTGCACTCGGTGGTACACATGACGAGGATAAACACGAGTCTAACGAGTTCACGACCGTCCAATTAATGTGAGTCAAGCTTTGAAAAGTCATGTTAATGTTTGAAATGGTCCTATACATATTCCATGATGGATTGTCCGGTTTTAGTTTTGATTAAGCAAGAAACCAAGAACTCCCCAAGGTAAAATGATCGTTGGGGAAATTAATAAATACCACGTCATGGAAGTTTGTCTTGTTGTCCGGATTATTGTAATGGGCAGTTGAGATATTGAGAGTGCATACTTGCTGTCCAGCTAAACCATAGATATGACTAAGCTCCCACCCACTTTGCTCTCATTCAAAACGTGCACCTCACCTCTTGTTGTTGGCACTACTTCTAAGACAACTCTTTTTGTTTCAAATAATAAACTTTTAACTAATGAATTGTTCATTTTAGTGGAAAGTGATTAGATTTTTCTAAATAATGTTTTGATTTTAAATTTTGTAAATAAAAAAATAAGTATTAAATTTTTTTTTTATAAAATTTAATATTGATTGATTTTGAATTAATTAAAATTGAATGTACGTAACTTTTAAATATAAAAAGATTTAGTACAATAAAATAAAAAATTTCCGTTGTTGAAAAGCATGCTTTCTCATGTCTATTAATTACTAAACAAGACTAAATTAAAGAAGATCCAAATTAATTAATTAATCAATCAATTACCATTGTCATTGCGGATTCTCCAGAAACATGATTTCATCATGTGGTTCATCATTCTATTCAAGTAAATAATTGGAGGATGAATCCAACTTTTTCTTCTCATCAATTGTTTAAATAAAGAATCAAAATTGATTAAGGTACCATCAAGGCATCAGCATCCACATAATGAAACCCGATATCACAACCACTTCCCTGACATATGCCACAGTGCATATCAAACTTGTAATATCTCTATGGCTTAGTGCTAATTAATCAACATGAATGTAGTAAATTAATATAATTATCAAGTCAATACTTTTTCCCCTGGCCCTTGTGGAGTTGAAAAAAGGCATCCCTTCTATATATTGTTTTATTTGTGTTTTAATTGTACTAGGGGAAAGCTTCAGTGGCTATATATATATATATATATATATATGAGGATTAAAATGCATCCGCCATATATAAATGATATGAAAAAAGGTGCTTAATTAAACTTAATTGTATCAATCGTACTATAAAACCATCATAATCATGACCATCATCAAGTGCCTATACCCACTCTCTTCATTATTACGTCCGTAGCAATTTGCAAGTAGGGGAGAAAAACTGACTTGAAAACAGCCCTAAGCCTCTAACCCAGCTTATAGCATGCAGCTGTTGAGCGCTCTTCCTGCCTTTTGAGGGTGCCAATAACTACTCAAGGGAATTGAGAAACAGAGGACTTTGAACCATGGTGAACCCCCGGTAATTGCCACAAGAGGGAATAAGTGGAAACCACCTGCTCCGGTGGGTTGAAATCTTCATTTTGCAGGTTTAGATCGATGGACCCGAGTTGTGAAATTTTGTTCCATAACGAGAGAATATCATTAATATCCCAACAAATACAGAATTCACAACTCTAAAATGTCAGGATTTCGTATTAAAATAGTCAATAAAATCTTAAATTAAATGATTACAGAAGGGTAGATATTTAGTAAAATTTAAAAAATAACTTAAAAGTAATTTTTTCTTTCATTCATTCAAAATTTTGCTAAATAAAAATTTAAAAAGTTACTTTTAAAATAGTTTTTAAATAAATTTTGAAAAAAAAATTTAATTTATAAGAAAAAAATTTTACTTTTAAAGCAAACTACTTTTTAAGATTGGCTAAAAACAGACTCTAACACTTTACACTTGCCTCCCCCTTTCAATTTACTTGTAGAGTAGCAATGATCAAAATTGGACAAGAAGAGTAAAGAGACCACAAATAACCTCACCAAATTGGGACCAAATTAACATTAATTAAGCAAAGGATAATCTTCCGGTGGCAATTAATCCATTGCAAAAAGCGGGTCTGTCTCACCAAGAGATGCCACCACGTGGCACCAACCAATCACGTGCATACTTGATCTTCAGTGAAAGCAATTAATTAGCCTTCTAAACTAACCAACCTCTCATTAAATTTAGCAGTCCATAATCTCTTAATTTAATCATGTTAGCTACCCACAATCTTCTCAAGTTGTGCCCTGCCGTGCCGTCACAGCAACTCCTACTCATGTTTTCTAAATTCCGACGTCATTTTGCACAAGAAAAATCATCATTGCTCATTCCTAGTGGTTGCTAATTATTATTCATTATAATAAAACTAGTAATTTCAATGTACTGTATTTTAATTTTTATCACTCTTAAGTTTCTTTGATACATGAAACGATACATATCCTAATAAATGTACAAACTCAAACTCATAATACTAAAAAAATATGAGAATATATATGTTTTTTTTTTCCTTTTTCAGGCAAATAACTAGGAGGAAAAAAAAATCAGGAAGAAAGAGGAAGAATCATCATAGATTTGCTAGTAATACTGATGATGCATAATAGCTAGCTCTAGATCGATCTGATCACTAACCGCTGCTCCTTTTTTCTCTTTTTTCATGATGATGAATTATACATGTATATATCAATGGTGCAAAGGGTTGGGACCGGTGGGCACAAGGCGCTTTTCGACACCATAACGGGGATCGATCTCAGTCCCGGCAGGGTCAGCAGATGGTACTTGCTTCTGCGAACGTTGGTGGTCTTGTTGATGCTGGAATGGCTTGAAGTCAAATTTGCTCGCAAGAACTTTTCTGTTGATCAGAGGGCGAAGGGAGAGCGAGGAATGCGAAACGAGGATGACTTGTTTGTTGTAGATTCTGAACTTGAGATTGTGGAATTCATGAAGCAAAAACAAGAGAATGGACAGCCAAAGAAAGAAATTTACTAAGTTGGAAGCTCTCAAGGCCATGGTGAAGGAGTAGAAGGAAAAATGTCAAAAGAGGAAGCATGGATAGGAGCTAATATGAAAGGAGGAGGAGAAGAACAACAACAACTTAAGAAATATTAATGGAATGGTTTGTGAAATTTTGGACAGCTTGAATGAAATGGTGGGGGAAGGTTGAAAATGTGTGAGGTTTTTTTGCTTTCATGTGAGACTTGAGAAAACTTTTAATGCTAATTTATGGGAAGAGAGATATATTGGCGGTAGACCCTTTTGGGGCTTCCCAATGACGTTGCCTTAGAAATAAAGGAAGGGAAAAGGTTGGCATTAATTGGAGAGAATTTTCAAAGCTTGAATTATATTAGGGTTGATTATGGTCATAATTAGTAATAATCTCTTTGAATATCTTTTGATGGATAGGCATAATGTAGAGGTGACATCTTTATATACTGAGAGAAAATATTTCTTTTGAGAGGAATATATTGAGTATGGTGGGGAATATGCAATCCACATTTTCTATGGGCAAAGCAAAGTGTGAACAGTTTTTAGCACTAGAAGTGAAGATTTTCCTGTCTCTGTTTTTAGCACATGTACTGGTTAAAATCACATAATCTCTTATTCCTAAAGTTACCGGGAAATTATGCATACTTTGCGTTTAAGTAGTCGAATTTTAATATTGTATGGTACTTTGATGTGGGTAAATACTAATAACCCGAGTGAATATGAAGATAAACTGTAAAAAAAAAATAAAAAATTAAAAGAACTCTATATGGATAAGAGTTGAAACTCACAAATTTTAAATTGTGGGGTCTTAATTTTTAAATTTTTAATCAATTAGCTCAATAGTTTAAAACTTTTTGTCTTTTAAAAATACATTTTTTATATGTAGAAAACTTAAAAATTTCATTCATCATTATAAAAGAAAAAAAAAATCATTCCTCACGTTGAATCTGAGGAGTAATTATTTTTAAAATTTTAAATCTGGACAAGATAGGTTTTAATTTTTTATTTTCTTTTTCAATTTTAGTGGGCCATGTATTTAATTTCTTTTCCAGT